TTTTTTTTTTTTTTTTTTGAAATAATTATGACTTTAAAAACATTTTCAAATATTTATGTGTCTCTTATGTCATTATGACTAGAGAAAATTTATATATATCTAGGTATTATGAAATGTTATACTTGCAAATATGGCTAATTGCAACCACTATAATCAAAATAATTGAGAACGAAAATAATTGAGAACGAATTATTCAAACATAATGTTTTAGCTTCCAATCTACAATAAAAAAAATGATCATTATAAATTATAGTTATAACAAATTCGAATTATTTTTCAAAGAGTATGATGCAAAAGGATGACATTACAAAGCTATATTTGATGACAATATCAATGATAATTATTTTAAGCAAAAGTAGGGATGAAATGTTGACGAAGATATAAAATAATGTTAAGATAAAAATAAAATATGAAGGAATCATCATTACATAATTCATTTAAACTGGAATTAGTAATTATTCACATTTAGGATAGTCTTGAAAATTCAAGAATGAAGATAATGGATATATGACAATGTTAGGAGATGCAACAATAATTTATGTCGGAAAAGATATATAGATAGATAGGTAGCTTTAATCAATAAAAATGTTATTATTCCTATGCTTTTCAAGTAAATTTTCTTTTTGAAATAATTAGTTAATTACGACTTGAATTAAAGACATTTCAAATATTTATGTATCTCTTATATCATTATGACTAGGGAATAACTATATATATCTAAGTATTATGAAATTATACTGGCAAATATAATTACACTTGCAACCACAGTAATCAAAATAATTGAGAACGAATTATTTAAACATAGTTTGTTAGCTTCCAATCGACAATAAATAAAAAAATAATCATTATAAATTATAGTTATAGCAAATTTGAGTTATTTTTTCAAAGGGTATGATGTAAAAGGATGACATTAGAAAGCTATATTATGAAGACAATAATAGTGATCATTATTTTAAGCACAATGAAGATATCATTAAATAACAAAATCAAAGACTATAATTTTTTTTAGCATTTACATTTTCACTAAAAAAATATTAATTTTATTTTTGGTTTTCAACCCAATGTTTTTTTTTTATTTTATTCATCATAGAGTTCAGATAATAGTATTAAATACTATATTTCATTATTCAATAAAATACACCATTTTTTGTTAAACTAAATGAAAGAAAATTATATTATA